TTAGGCTCTGGTATAATCACTGCAACTGGATGGGCCCCACCCATAGGTAGTGCACCTGGGATCTGATAAACGGTAGCAGCGTCCCTGGAGCCTGAGTGGTAGGGGTATGTGCTCCCCCTCCTACCTGAGATGTGGCCGGATCTTCCAGAAATAGCTCGGTTTGAGTCATAGAATCCATGAACCGTAGCATACGGCCCATGACTTCTTGAAATCCCGGTGCAGTCATAAAATCTGTCAGGGCCAGCTCAGCTGCATGCACCTCGTCCTGCTCCCCAATAACAGGATCCTCTACTGGATCCTCTGGTGGCACAACAGGAGCAACTCTAGGACTCCTTTGTCCTCTAGCAAGATGTGTGGTTCTCCCTCGGCCTATGCCTCGGCCACGGCCTCTAACAACCAAGGGAGCAACCCTTCTGCCAACAGGTACAGCCGTAGCGCGCATTCTCACCATCGGTGAGAGTATAAGAGAAGATACTTAGCGTAACATCAACTGCACGATAAAAGATGAAGAAAGATATATTTCCTAACATCCTATAGCCTCTCGAAGATAAGTACGGACATCTTCATACCGATCTGTAAGATTCTACTAGGCTTGCTCATGACTCGTGAGACCTATGTGAACCTAGTACTATGATCCAAGCTATCATAACCCAATTCCCACTATAGGCCGTGATGGCGCCCAATGTAGCCGTTAGGCAACTCAACGGTGAACTATCAACTTAATTATTTATTTTCTTGCTTTTGAAATCATTAATGTTTTTATTTAATAAAGAAACTAAGTAGAAAAGGCCATGGTGACATAAAGCATAAATAAAACATACAAATAAAATGGTGATAATATTAGGCAAAAACCATAAACATCTACTAGAAATTTTCAAAATCCGATGTCACAATTGCACGAGCAATCTAGTAGAATATACAAACCCCTAATAACTACTGTCTGTAGTAAAATAGATAAAAATAGTAAATACAACAAGGGAAGACTCCGGGTGCTGCAGATTGGAGCATGGGAAGTAGCTTACCACTAGGTCTCTTGATAACGGGGATGCACGCCCCAATGGCCACCAGATATACCTGCCTCAGAACCCGCACAAATTGTGCAGAAGTATAGCATGAGTACGTAAATCAATGCGTACCTAGTAAGTATCTAGTCTAACTCGAAGAAGTAGTGACGAGTGGTCGACATCGACACTTACTAGTGGTCAATAAATAAAGCACAAGAATGATAAATAGGCATGAGATATAACAGTAATAATGGAATGAGAACGGTAAATAACATGATCCTTTAATATAATGACAGTTTAAATTTCCCAAATACCATGTGCTATCTCAACAAATAAGAACCATCAACTAAATATCAAATCTCAAGTCAAGAAGGAGATATCATGTATATTCTGACCCCTAGCACTACTACACACGAGTTATGCCGAGGTCGTACGACCCACTTCATAATAATCGTGTACATACACTACCGAGGTCGTACAACCCAATCTAGGGATGCATCTCAAGTATACTTCCGAGGAGTTCGGCCAAATCCACAAGAATAGAGAAACTCTTCGAACTATGTGTCAAACAACTACAACACAAGGATGGCATTCAATGAAAGCATTATTTCACCAATAATGAAGTATTCCGCCAAAACTCAAGGTAATAAAGCTCGGCCTAACACAATCCCTAATCGCATTTCAATTATAAATTTAAGTAATTGAACTAGTAGGTTGAGTTTAAATAATACAAATATTACATAATAAAGACCTAAGTCTACCTAGACATAAACATGATTTTTAGCTACGTACGGGCTCTCGTCACATTGTGCGTACGTATCACTCACAACTAGTAACAAATACCAAATTAAGCACCTACAAAAATAATTCCCTCTTACTATATTAGGCAAGAGACTTACCTCGCTTCCAAGTTCACTTCTCATTCCTCAAACCACACTAATAGCTTCAAATAATGCCGAGCAACCCGAAACTAGTCAAAAATCGTACTAACTAATTAATATATGCTCAAAAGTTCATAATTCATCTATTAGAGTAATTACCCAACCCAAATCGGAAAGTTCCTAAAAGTCACCCTTGGGCCCACGTACTCGGATTCCAGAAATTTTTGTAGATAAATGTTACCCATGACCTTACGAACTCATATATATAATTTTTACTCAATTCCATAATCAATTTCTTGATCTAATCCTATTTTTACAAAACCTTAGGTCTCAACATAATTCCATAATTTCTATATTAAAATCTACCCATAATATATGTATTAAACTCACATTAGGTAGAAATCACTTACCTCAAGATGCTAGGTGAAATCCCTCTCCAAGAAGCTCTAAAATCGGCCAAACCAATGTGAAATGAGAGAAAATGAGCCTAAGTCCTGATTTTAAAACATGTTTCTGCCTAGTGGCCCTTCTTGGCGATCATGAAGGCAAACCAACCATCGCCAGAAAAGTCTCCTTCGCAAACGTAACAGTGCCATCTCGATCACAATGCCCAATGCGGCTTACCCTTTGCGAATACAAGTGGCCCTTCGCGAACACGAAGGCCAAGGCTTGCCTCCTTCCCCACTGGCCTCCCACTATGCGGATGCGACCCAGCGATCGCGAACGCGAAGGCCAGTGGCCCCAAAGCTTCACGATCGTGACTTCTATTTCACGAACGCATAGAACAAAAATCTCGTAGTCCAAATCTTTCATCCCGCACGAGGGAGAGCCTCCGCGTTCGAGAAAAAGGAAACCAGTAGCAAAAAATCTACCATTTTGGACTTAACTCCGACTGGTTTGAAACATCCGAGCCACCCAAGACCCCGTCCAAAAGCACCAATAATTTCATAAATATAATTCGGACCTACTCGAAGCCTCGGAATACCTAAGACAATATCGAAACTAAGAATCGCACCTCAAAACCAGATTAACCAACCTTTGAACTTCAAACTCCTTTAACTAGCTCCGAATGCGATAAATCATACTTAGACAACTCGGAATGATGCCAAAATATACGCACAAGTTACAAATCACAATACGAACCTATTCCCGAACTCGGAATCTCAACAGACATCAATAACACCAAAGTTTACTTCAAACCAAATTTAAGAAACTCTAAAACCTTCAAGGCGCCAACTTTCAACATTAAGCGCCGAAACACTCCCGGATTACCTGAAACTCGATCCGAACATACGCCCAAGTCCAAAATTATCATACAAACCTATTGGAACCTTCAAATCCGATTCTGAGGCCGTTTACTTCAAATGTTGACTCAAGTCAAACTTAGCCACCCTAGGCCACTATTAAGGAAAAGTGTTTCGAATTCAACCTAAACCTTTCCAAAACCAAACCAATTATCCTCCTAAGTCATAAAATAGTAAAAGCACATACGGGAGGGGAACAGAGATCTAGAAAGTAAAACGACCGGCCGGGTCAGTACAACAACAATATTTGTTGATTGTGGGATTGGGTTGCACGTTGCAACAATGTTTGTTAGTGATGTTTGTCTATAATCCCTGCACGTACTTCATGGAGACTGCTTTTTTCGTAGAGAATGGTTATGAGGTTATGACTGTTTGCCATATCTGTGAACTTGTTCCGTAACTCTTCAGTTGATGCTCTTATTGTTATTCAATCTCTCTTTTGCCATGTTTTTCCTGCTTATTATTTGCACATGTACATACTAAGTAAGTATCTTTAACTTAAAACCTCGCCACTATTTCGCCGAGATTAGTCAAAATACTTACTGAGTACATGTGGTCTGTTGTACTTATGCTACACTTCTGCACCTTGTATGCAGATCTTAGAGCTGCGTAGCTGTGGAAGATAAAGCCTTGCACTGAAAACGTTTTAACGTTCCAGATTCAAGCTACCTCTTGTTCATGGTAGTTTAGAAGTGAAACTCTTTTTATGTAAATTTTAAACAAATATTGTACTTATTCTTCATTTCAATTTGTAAATCTAAATCATAGTCGCTCATGACTTGTACTACTAGTACTTAGGAGGTTTATAAAATTCAGTCATTTATTTCTTGTTATTAATAATCTATCATTTGGGTTACCTTGTTCCATGTTTGGCTTACATAGCATTAGGGTTATGTGTCATTACGACTAGGTAGTTTTTGGGTCGTGACAGAAACATCTTGTTTAAAGTTATCTATACTTCAGTACCGATCAAATTTTTCTTTAAAGTGTGTACAAGTTAAATGGGAGCCATCGAATAGGTCGCGCCGTGAAACTTTTACCTTGGCAAAGAATAGACTCCTTTGTAAAATAGCCCAATTTGAAGCTGGACCTTTTATGAACCACTTTGATGGCTTGGGCCAGGTATAACATGTAGAAATAGGGCCACCATTGTTGGCTCTTTTGTTAACGTCGAGCCCAGGGTTGTAGTTCTGAAAAGATTTGCGCGAGGAACAAGCACAAAGTTGGAAATATTTGGATAACGGAGAGGTTTGCATATCAATGTAAAAAAACCAAAAAAAGAAACTTGCCTATTCCTCCGGTTTTAATTTATAGGATTATGACAAATTTTCTTTATTAGTTCGTTTAGAAGAGAATAACATATTTTAATATTTAAAATAATTTAATTTTAATTTTTTTATTTTATTTATTTTATTCTTAATAAGAAATTTTTATAACCATAATATAATAACTCCACAAAGATTTTACCTTTTAAACTTTTAAAACCATATAGTTTAGAAGAGTATTCTTCTTTCTTCTTAAATGTGGTGTCAAATCAAATTACATTAGGAGTATTAAAATATCTGAGAATCTTTGAGACCATATGTGTTACTTTCCACTGTCAATTTTCTGACCAGATATTTCGCAGCAACTCAGCTAATAACATTCCTAGTAAACATTTTAATTTGTAAGAAATTCAGAACTGAAGAGCAACAAACAGAGTGAATTTATAAAAATATAATTTTGTTTATACAAGTCTCTTGCTATAACAAAAATAAAATTAAATAGCTAAATGATTTAACTAACTTTTTTTGCAACTAAATAATTATGCGCGCAAATAGTACATGTTCCCACTTGCAGAGAACAAACTACAACGGGATAGAGTAGAGCCAACAAAAGATAACTAAACCAACAAGGCCTTAAGATTCTCACTCATCTGAATTGTCATCTCCGGCGATGGCATCTATATTACCGTCGGGACTCTCCCTCATCAGCTCCTCCGCCGCTCTCCACCACCAGCTTCCTTGCCTGCTCTTCTTATCTCCGCCGTGCCTAAAGTTTGCTACTTTCGGTAAATGTTTCCTCTCCGTCCGCCGCAAGCAGTTTTCCGTTACCGCCAGCAGCAACACTTTAACGGCCAATTCTGCACAGGTATACCTCCCTCCTTGTCTAAATCTTATATACTGCTTGAAATTAAATGCTTTACTTTATACTGGCAATTTTATACAATCAAGTCAGGTAATTGCAGGTAATTCTATTTAATAGGTAACTTAGAACAAATGTTAAGTAACCTTCCATAACAAGTAAAATCTATAACTAATTCTGTATGCGAATCTCCTGCATAAACATGCAAGAGTAGAAACAAAATTTGTTTACCTAGATAAGTGGATTTTAAGTAATGTGGTCTTCAGATGCAACCTATTATGGCATATGCAATTGTTAACGTTAATCACAAGTTCACAACAGTTAGCTCAGAAGTTGAAGCCCTGTTCAATAACTTGAAACACTGGTTTCTTACACATGGTTATGTAGAAATTTGATAACCTTCTTTAGCTTCCTAAAATTAGTTGGTATAGGTTACACATCAGACATACTGATGAACGGAAAAGAAAATATATTAAAACTTCGCACATTTTAAGTTATTATAAGTAGTGTTAATCAATCTTCGATATCAAAAATACTGTTAGGATGAACAATATTTTCCACTTGTGAAGAGCAACATATTTGCTTCTTGTGTGAGTGGATTTTGTTGATACACATTTGTACTCTGTCTAAAAGGAAATTGAAAAGGAAAAGGAACATTACACACTGTTTTTTAAATTAACAATCATTCTTGTATTTTGGGGTTATCCAAAAAGTGTTTGGTATTTCTAAACGAGAAACCTTCCCCTGTATCCTTCTACACTTTTTCTATGTCATCTAGGAGAAGAGGTAACATTGTGCTCACACTTATTCTGACAAAAGTTCGAACAAAAATTAATTTGAGCTTCATCTTTTGGACCGATTTCTATTTACACAATAGAATGTGGCCTCTTGCCTAACAACTCATGGTAAGTCAATTTGCTTTGATGAAGAATGTTTTAAACCAGAGTTATTTATGTGCTTGATTTATGTTTCAAGTTACATTCTTGGACTGACAATAATGAAATCCATGCCACATAAGGTTATTTAAATTAGGAAATAAAATGCATCAGAATTTTAGGAACTCATTTGAGTTTGCACTTTTCTAAGCCACAACCCTAACGTTATGATAAAAAATCACTCTCGTTTTGGCGCGGAGAGAAACTGAATACTATAATATGTGATTATTAGATTCAAGCATTTAACCTTGAATCTGACAAAATTCTTGGCCATAGTGGATATTCCCCGGGTTATTACCATTTACTAGTCAAACTTCTTTTGGTAACTTCCTGTCCATAGGAAAAAAAGCAAGCTCGAGCAGCACTGGACATGCAGAGCAAAGAGCGCAGGGTGCAAACATTGACTTAGTTAGAAGCTGTGCTATAGATCTGGATGTGTTCCATAGATGTGGGAATACATGCAACTCTTTTGCTATCATCTTCACTGCAACGAAATGTAGATATCTCACACGTCCACTTTCTTTTGATAAGTTGGCTATGTGAGCTAGATTATGCAATCCTTGACCAATTGGTGTTAGAAGCAGTCAACTTTAGATTTCATCTAACCTTAAGTATAGCAATAGATTATTTTCACGTAGTTAATTGTACTAAGACGTATTGGCTCCTTCACATCAACCTTGCTCACAACTGGCTGCTTGATGGAATTATGTGGCTGTTTTCATATTTATTCTAGACCTGTTTACTTTCAAGAAGTTTTCCTTTCCTTTTTTATAATTTGATTTTAGTTTGAACTATAAATGCATTCTTCTTTTCATCAAGAAGTTCCAGTTCCTCATGAATGTCCACCAAATGATAAGCTTATATATACTTGTGGCAGCCAACAAATGGTGTATATACAGTAGGTGATTTCATGACGAGAAAAGATAAGCTACATGTGGTAAAGCCATCAACATCTGTAGATGAAGGTATTTTAGTGCTCAACTTCATCGCTAGCTACCATCATGTTGTTAATTCCTGATACATGATTGTTCCTGCAACAGCCTTGGAATTGTTGGTAGAACGCCGAATCACTGGTTTCCCTGTGGTTGATGATGACTGGAAATTGGTATGTTCTGTTTTCTAATGTAACCTTTGTAATATTGTGGATGGAAATATCACTTAAACGACCGTGTGTTTCCTGCTTATGTAATATTCAGTTTTGATAATTGATACTTGAAAGCTAATTACTTGAATAAATTTCTGAAATGGTTCCCGAACTATAAGTTTGGTCTTGATTTCATCCTCAACCTTTGAATTGATTCTCACTTTATAACATTTAAATTTGAAAGGTCCTCTGCATCCGAAACTAAGGGTTATTTTGCCCTGCTGCGTGTAAAGCACTTGGCACCTGGAAGGGTATAAAAGAGAATTAAAACAGAAACTTGGAACAGTAAAATAGAATAGCAAATTGGAAAGAAAAATAGAATGTCAAAAACAAGAAGAAAGTAAAAAAGAAAAAGGAGAGAAAACAGCTTAGCTGCTTTTTCATGGAGGGTGAGGGGAATGGCTTCTGTAGGGACTGGTAGAGATGTGGCTATGGTTGGCAAGGAAGGGGAAGAGATGTGGGCAATGGGTGCTGGCAAGAAGAGGGTGTGTCCGTCTGGTGAGAGAAGGCGATGCCAGAGGGGTGGAGGTTGGGTGGTGGGGAAGCTATGCCGCAGGCGGCTGTGCATGATTCAAAAAGGTATTATGGGAAGCTCTGTACCATCGGAAGGGGGTGGCTGTTAGGGCTAGGGAAGGGGTTTGGGAAAGAAAACCCCATGTCAGGTTCTTTTTTTCTTGTGAAAATAGTTTTTATATTTCTCATCTTGTATTTTCTTGTCTTTCGGGGTTTTCCGTTAAAGGTGTCAAGTGATTTTCACGTGACATAGGAAAATCACTTCAATTTCACTACAGCTAAGAGGGAGATTTTAAAAAGAAATTTAATTAATAGAGTACTAAAAGGAAGTGATTGAGGACTGTTTCAAGAATTATTCCTTGTTTCTCATTCAAGTTCATAGAAACAAATATTGTTATATCAAAGTGTTAGGAACAATTTAAGTCCTCTGCGATATCTATCTTCTGTGAGAATAGAGGTCTCTAATAATACATGTGGAACATCAAATTTAGATAGAGTACAATGATATAGGGCATAATCTTTGTCATTTAAAAACTTATAATTTACTGTGATGCGGGCCTTTAGACAGAAGCTTAAAACGGATCATCTTATTGCTCCAAAAATTTTGTATGAGTAGTTGAATGGATTCGATTGAGCATGAAAGATAAAGAGGGTGTTATTTGCTTCATATGTTTATTGGAAATTCTCATAGTTGGTGAACAATCCAGTTAAAGTTAAATTATCTTTGTTCTTACACCTTGATATTTCTCTGTAAGTGTTACATTTTACAGATAGTTTTTATTTTTATTGTAATTCACCACCATGTCAAATAGTGGTGAAGGGCTACTTTGGGTTTTTCTTGTTTCCTGTTTTATGTTTTTATGTTCTTTCTGCGTTTCTGTTGGAACTTGGCGTAGATAGACTTGATCGAAGAAGTTTCTATTCTTTGGTTGGCTTTCCAATGATCTTCTGAAAGTAATGACAATAATGATTCCATCTTTGTCATTTACTTTCTTTTCTTTGTCAGTGTTGCATTATAGTTTTTCTTGGTCTTATCAAATTAACTAGTTTAGGAAAACTGAAGTTTGTAAAATTCTGTTCATTTTCCATAAAATATTTCTTTTTGCAGTAGAAGCTTGAAAATTGCTTTTGAAACTTTTGCAGTTGTTCAAACGCTATGGTTGTACATGACTTAGAATTTCTTTTGTTAACATCCATGAATTATAAAGTAGTAATATTCTTCTGGAAACAAAATTTTGCGCTCGTTTTTATTATTAATAGTTGATTTTTTAATTTTTTGATGGCATGTGAATAGGAATATCTTCTGTATCTCTCACTTTTGGTAATTTTACTTTCTAGAGACTGATTCCTTTTTTTGTTGGTATTCCAAGTCTGAATTGGACTCAAGTATTTTGAGTGCTCCTCAAAATTTTAAGAAACTTATTTAAGTAATAGAAAGTGTAATTGGCAGCACGAAAATATGAAAGTAAGAGTGCTCAAGTTGCACCCAAAACCCCTATTCATGCATCTTTATATCGTATGGATATGATCATATACATTAGCTTCAAATATTTAGTTCAAAGATATTTCAAAAATAATATGCTTGTCTTGTATTATGATAAATCAAAGATATTTCACTCAGAAGCTTGAAGTTCTCTCCTGCTGCAGGTTGGTCTTGTTTCTGATTATGATCTATTGGCTCTGGACTCTATATCAGGTATAATTTTTAGTTCTGATGCTAGAATGATATTCTGTGGAGATTAGAAAAGATCCCATTGGTTTTAGGCCCATGTTTTATTAGGATCCTTTCTGAAAAGGCCTGGAACCTTTTTGGTATTAATGTCTGTTGATAGTATTTTAAGTTGGGATTCTGAAGTCGTCTTCGGAGGAGACTGAGTGCATCTCTATCTCTTTTTCTTAGGTACAGGAGGAGCTGATGCAAACATGTTCCCGGAAGTGGGCAGCAACTGGAAAGTAAGCAAATTATGTTTTGTTGTTAGATCATCTCTTGAATGCTTGTTGATCATCTAATGTGCTAGTTCCTTAAAAATAAATTTTTTTTTTCCAATGTGAGACCTCAAATTAAAAAAACTTTCTACTTATTGGGAGGTACAGATAATCTTGATTTCTGCATGAAAGGCTATTACCATTAGCTTTGTAGCCCTCTTTCAGGGAAATGGATATTTCACCTTATAATTTTGAAGACCCTGAGAACAAATTAACTGGAAGAGAATAACTTTTAACACCAATCTTTGAGATGCTTAATTGTTGATATTTAGCAAGTTGGTTAAATCATAAGTGGTATAGTTGTCCCCTAAAGGGAAAGGATAGCTTCCAATGTCTAGGAACTCAAAAGAAAGAGATTGATGACTGAAATTGTGGACGATCCTCATGATCGTTTTACTTACAATGCTGACCAACTCTTCTTGTAATCTGCTGCATTATTGTTAGTGGTTATATTCAACAACAGGAAGTAAAGAATACGAACCTTTACTCTTCCAGAAAACTTCTTATGGACTAAAGTAGTGATCACAAGGATTTGAAGTCATTAACAAGTATAGTGCATATCAAATATTCCTTTTTTTTTTCCTCTGCTAATAAAGGTGAAAGCTACATTAGCAACTATATCAATTATGTTGGGAGGACATTGGATTCCAGTTTTAGGAATGATGGAACCAGCACTGGGAGCTGGATAATTATTATGAGCATATGGATATAGTGTAATGTTTCTTGTTTAATTGGTTGCAAATGTTTATAACTGAAAACCTAGAGCTTCAATAAAGATCACTCAAGTATCCAGGTTAGTATAGTGAATAAAAAATGGTAATTAGGTTTTAGCTACCTATCCAAATTCAAACATTTCTTTAACTATATCCAAAATTCATCCAATCTGACAATTGTAACACGAATCTATGACGAGTTACAATTTTTTCCTTCTCAAAGGCATTGCATAGAGAAAGATAAAAGCCAATTGGAAACCATGTTCTCAAACAGTTTTACTGGCGTTTTCATTTACTAATTAACAATTGAAAGTTGCATTGTAGACTACACTATAGCATTCGAACCTTAATGCACTCTGTTATAGTCTGATTGCACGAGCTACTCAAAAACAAACCTTCGATTAATTGATCAAGAAAAGAACATAGGAAATGCATCCAGCAAAAGCTGGCAACATAGACAGCTTGTATGAGTCTGTACAGGGCATTGTTTGAGCACATTGCTGAACTATGAATCATGCTTTTCATAGTTCATCCTTGCTGACTGAGATATGGCTGTTGAGAAGTTAATCCATTGGATTGCCTTTTTCATCTGCTACATTCCAATCAGAAGGGGAGCCTTGGCGTAACTGGTAAAGTTGCTGCCATGTGACCGGGAGGTCATGGGTTCGAGCCGTGGAAACAGCTTCTTGCAGAAATACAGGGTAAGGCTGCGTACAATAGACCCTTGTGGTCCGGCCCTTCCCGGACCCCGCGCATAGCGGGAGCTTAGTGCACCGGGCTGCCTTTTTTTTTTTTTACATTCCAATCACTAACCAACAGCATCTTCTAAACTCTGGTGGTTAGAGATCTTACTCGAACTATCTGGTTAGCATCCCCTGTTCCAGCTCTGAACCTCAATGATTATGTATTAAGTGATATGGTTTTGATTTCATCTTACTCACTATGGGATGTTTCTGACCAGATACTCCGTCCATGATGGACTAACCTCCGCCTTTCCTTGTCCCAAAATTTGTCTCCTTTTCAAATAGTAGACTTTCTTATTTCTAAGTTAATCTTACATTTTTTCATGCTGAACTATGGCAGATAGAAGTGTTGGTATTAATTGTCCTCTGCATTACTTTAATACTTGCACATATGGTTACCCGTTTACCTTCCTCAACTTGAAAACTTATTTGCTTTTCTGTATGGTGGAGCAATGAAAATGCGCTTGATTTCAGAAAATCAAAATTGCTATCACACCACAATCAAAGCTATTGAAGTTTTGACACATCCAATTTTGACTTATATTCGCAGACATTCAATGAGGTTCAAAAGTTGATTAGTAAGACCAAGGGGAAAGTGGTTGGTGATTTGATGACACCTGCTCCACTAGTAGTTCGGGAATCTACCAATCTTGAGGATGCAGCAAGGTTATCATTAATTCTTGATTTCAACTTAATCTACAGTTTTCATTTATCCTATTTTATGTTTCTATAGCATTAGTTGGACGAGACACCAAAGAGTTTGTCTCATTTATTACTTCTTTATTTGTCAGACTTCTACTCAAAACAAAATACCGACGGCTTCCTGTTGTTGATAGTGATGGTAAACTGGTAAGATTCTGAGACTTAGCTTTTGTGCATCTATACTTCTCTAACTCGTGATATGCTAATCAATCGTCGTATAATGAAGGTGGGAATAATAACAAGGGGAAACGTTGTGAGAGCTGCCCTTCATATAAAACGGGTCATTGAAATGGAAGGCCAACAATGATCAATTGGATTTAACTGTAGAAGTGCATAAATGCAGTTCAATTTGACAAGGCAAGAATCATATGTTGTGCACATAATAGAGTAGATAATACAGTTCCACGGCTCCATGAAAAATATGTGCGAGTCAAAACTCTTCACAGGTATGAGCCACTGAAGAATATATCATTTGTAATTGGAAGGAAAATTTTAGGTGGACATTAAAAAGAATGCTTCTTTGAGGTATGGAACCGATACGTGGATGAGCTCCAATCCATTGCTTCCACTTGGCTATAGCTTTGGTAATTACATGACTACAAAACTATTGGTTTAATGCTGGAAGTTTGCTGAGTTTGGTTAAACCATAATTTGGATCTCCAAAAAAGCATTAGCTTAGTTTGTGGTTAATCCAGCTATTGCGACAGGCTTAAGTTTTACCTCATTTCTATTTTACTTATGCGACACTGGTAGTAGGTAACACATAATTTGATGCAGAATGAACTCACTTGTCTCAATTTGAAAGTTATATTTGGCATTTACCTTTTACATTAATAAACTGCAGGCTGCCCCCAGTAGTCTCGTCATCGACGACAGTGAAGAAGCCACACATGCATTAAAAAAAATAAGTAGCTTCTTTTCACACTTAGACACATTTAATATAAAATAAATTTAACTTAAGTTACAAATGTATGATTATCAGGTTCGCTTACTATATTCAAATCCCCGTTGGCTTACTATATTCAAATGTATGATTATCAGGTTGAATTAATTACTACTACTATATAACTTCTTTTACAGGGTATATGTAATATGTATAGAAGCTAAATTCAAAATATCTGTATCTTCCCCTGTATCTGCATATATTGAATATAGTAAGCAAACAGGGATTGGTAGTGGTGTGGACTAGGAGTGGCAAACGGGCGGGTCAGGTTGGATATGGTTCGGGTCAAAACGGGTAATGAAAAATCGGATAAATTATCCGATCCGACCCATATTTAATATAGATAAAAAACGGGTTAACCGACGGATAATATGGGTAATCATATTACCCATGGCTTCATGAATATTATCACTTTTGGAAGAATTCATAGTCTCCCAAATTTAAGGAACCCCCAATTTTAGACTTTACAAATGTAAAAGTTAAACCTATTGGTTATCCATTTTCTAAATTGATAACATGGTTCTTATTCATATTTGACCCATTTTTAAAAAGTTCAGTATCCAATCCATTTTTTAGTGGATAATATAGGTGGTTAATTGTTTTTTTTAACCATTTTGCCACTCCTAGTGTGGACCATCAGAATTTGAGTTTAACTAATGTCCGGTATGAGAATTTTTACGTCGTCTTTACTTCTTGTAGGAGGTAACATGATTGATTTTCAAAATTACAGATTCAACTAATGGAGGTTATCTACAGATATCTTTTGGATATAAAACATGATAGTTCATCACAGGGCAGGCCGGCTCTAATGTTATGAATGGTAAGGTTTGTGCCTTTGGGGGCTCCATTTTTAAAAAATACTCCCTCCATTTCAATTTATGTGAACCTGTTTGACTGGGCACGAAGTTTTAAAAAGGGAAATGGGGCAAATATATACCTCTACTTTGATATATTGTTCATATTTACCTTCCGTTATACTATCGAGTTAAATCTATCGCACCGTTAGCAAAGTTTTCAAATTTGCCCTCTAACCTAACGGAAAGCCCAAATCCCTTCTATTTACTGCAATTCTTCTCACAAATCAGTCATCTCCTTCGTGTGATCCGCCAGAGAAGAAAAAAGGTCCATATTATAGAAATGGGAGTGTGGAGTTACAGCATAATTATTCCCCTTGTCTTTGGTTATGCTCAAACCATAAATGAAACGCAAAATTCCCAGTTCATGGGTATGTCTCCAACGGAATGTGGATGAGTGAAATACCGTAGATAATTTGGAAGAGATTTATTTGATTCTTCAGGTGGTCGAAATGCATTCGCTTATGTAGTTGTTACTAATATTTACTATTTTTTTATGGATTACAGGCATAACAAGGCTGTAGGTATCCGTGTAAATGTATTCCCTTTCAGATTTGGATTTAACATGTCATTTGATACAAATTTTGCTTGCGCAAACACTTCTGCATGAAATTTGTGGCATATGATTCTTTAGTATTGTTTGAGAAATCCTAAATTAAATTATCTGTTTAAATTTATGTCCTTCAAAACATTCTTTCAAAGGAATATTTACTAGTGTTCTCATACCTGGAGGTGGCGAGTTTGTTAAGTCTTCCTGCTCTAAATAATCAAGTGGAATAAGAAATTAGCTTGTCAAGGATATTTTCTTATCCGGTAGAGCACACATAGGGATAAGTAATCTGTGAGAAACAATTGTAGTAAATAGAAGGAATTTTGGATTTGGGGGCTTTTCATTAGATTAGAGAAATTTGAAAACTTTGCTAACGGTAAGGATAGATTTGACCCGATAGTGTAACGAAGAATAAATGTGAATAATATATCAAAGTAGAGGGGTATATTTGGCACTTTTCCCTTTTAAAAAATGAATACTTTTGGAATTTGTGGTCTTAAACAAGTCAAAAAGGGGTCGAAAGTATTTATGTGATTATAAAAGCTTCACATTAAGGGTAGAATTGGAAGGTTGAGCTAAATTGTTTCCAAATTTAGAAATGGGTCATTCTTTTTGGAACATGCCAAAAAGAAAATAGGTTCACATAAATTGAAACGGAGGGAGTAATAGGTGTATAGGTATTTAAAAAACAATACTTAGTACTTTTAATATAAAAGTAGAGTTTTTAATATTAAAGAAAAGAAAGTTCTTTAGATATATAAATAAAATAATAATTTGACTTACTTAAAATGGATAGATAAATAGTTTTTCCTGCATTTCAGTTTTACACTTTTTACTCCTTCATTAGATAACGTGTAAAAATTTTACTCTCTTTTTAATTTGTCCAGTTCAATCTTTTTTCCCCAATATCTTCATATTTTAAAATCCCTATATATTTTCTATCTTTCTCTTTAATATTCTTACTCATTTTCTTTTCCAAGATTTCATTACTCACCTTTTTCTCCAGATTTCATTAGTTCAAGAGTTCAACAATATTTTTAAATTTCAAATAGTTCTATACTTCTATTGCTCAATAAGATCTTATCTAAGATCAAAAATATCTCAAGAAAGATTACATGAGTTAGCTATATTATCAATTGAAAATAAATTATTAGAGAAAAATAATTATAAAAAAGATTTTAACAACTTTGTATCTCAAAAAGTTAGAAGAATAGACTTTAAATAAAAATGTATCTTATAACTTTCTTTTAAAAATTTAGGTTTCGTATTAAACTTTGGCATGTGTTTGAGCCGCCCTGGCACAATTTCTGGTACTATTTTATTTATTTATTCTAGAGCACAAAGCCTTGAAGTGGACAAGCCTCAATAGGAAAAATACATAAGATGCACCCTGTATTTGTTCAAGAAAATCGGTTTCACGCTCAACCTTTACGGCTGTCCTAATACCCCCTATCCTTATTCAAAGTGAATTTAATACCACTGAAATATAATACCACTTTCAGTACATCACACGCGCATGCCACATCAGCACCACGTCAGCATCATCTGTTTTTAACTCTCTTTTTTCCCTTTTTATTCACACATTTTTTTTCTTCTTCCACGCCCACCACCAAACCTCCATTACCACCAATTTTACTAGTCACCAACAAATCTGCACCACCGATTTCACTGCCAAATTCATCATCATCAATTCCATCAACCATCACCAAACTCATTAAATTGTATATTAAATTGACGAATTTCTGTTGCAAGTTAACGATATGCTCAATATCGATTTCAAAAGAACCTATTTCCATCAAACATCATAAACCCATTAAACTGTATGTCAAATTGACGCACTAGATGGTAGTGGATTTCCAAATCACACCAATTTCATAAATATATTACACTTCAAGAGATTATATTAAACAGAATCTTCATTTCTCTTTTATCACTTCTATTAAAATGACTAATATTTCTTTCTTTTGTTGTTGCAGATTCTTTAAAGAGAACAATATTTTGAGGCGAGTCAAAATAAAAAAAAATAGGTAATTGAAGAAAAAAATCTGGATTATAGGTGTGAAAATGGAGAAGAAGAGATTGGACGTTAAGAAGGAGAAGAAGGGTTTGGGGATTTGAAAGATGAAGATGGGGAAGGAGATTCAATAAATCTGTCTTTTTGTATAAAAAAGAAGAAAAATCAAAATTTCTGATTTAATTTTAGTAATACGCACCTATTTTTATTTATTCTTTATTATTTTGCCACATCAGCTTTTGGGTGGTATTAAATTCACTTTGGACAAGAATAATGAGGTAATAGAACACCCGTAAATGTTGAGTGTGAAACTGATTTTTCTGGACAAGTATATGGTTTATTTTCCCTACTTACGTCCAAGAATGAAAATCGTACTCCTTTAAATAACTAATATCTCTATTTCCGTTTATGTGAACTTTTTTTTTGGTCCGTTTTAAAAAGAATGATCCCTTTCTAAATTTGAAAACAATTTTGCTTAAAATTATAATTTTACCCTTGACGAGAAGCTTTTATAACCACACAAATATTCTGGGCCTTTTTTAATTGTTTAGGACCACAAATTTCAAAAATTTATTTTTTTTTAAATTTCGTGCTCAATCAAACAGATTCCCATGAATTGAAACGGAGCGAGTACAATTTACAAAAAAAAAAAAAAAAAAAAAAAAACAAATGTAATCAGAGGTCTGACCAGAACACCATCTCATTTTTTGTGTTACTTTTAAGAGTTTCTTTGGAAACCTCCATTTTTTAAGTTTCAGAAGAAAATCCCCCTTCATTTGACCGTAAACACACACACACACACAGAGAGAGTGAGACAGACAGAGAGATTACAATTTACAGATCTAGAATATGGTTGAAAATCATTTCTGCTTCCAACTTTGCTTTAAAAGATCAAACTCTCCTCCAACTTTTTAACAATAAACATCAACCTTAGAATATGGAACAAAGACTGAAGTAAAACCTTCCAATTAAACACCATGCATATGGAAGAAAATAATGTTAATGAATCGTCTGGAATGGTTGTGTCCAGTTTGTTAATTAATAGCACGAAGCGTGTGCAAAAGTTTGATGCCTTATAATTGTAGTTGCTGCATATTGGGCAGTCTTTCCAAACTAGTACTACTTCTGGTCCATTCTATCTGCATTTTAAGGTCTTTGTAAACTCTTTAAGAAATATAAGAATGATTTTGAACAAGAAAATTAACAGTAACTGCTTATTTTTCTAAAACTTAAATATTTTTAGATAAATTTTGATTCATCGAAACGACTAACATTTGACCTGAGGGAGAAAGGGTTTTCAGTTAACCTATATGGTTCAAAAAATACAAGGTAAGTAATGTAATTAACCTATATGGTTTTATTACATTTATTTGGCTCCACTGGAATCAGCAAGCAGTTAATTCGTCTCCTTCAAGGGTAAACTTGTGAGTTTATTTTTTAATAGAGGTAACGTGAGAATTGAAGAAGGAACGCACAAGGCAAAGCGACTTTCTGCTTGTAAATTAGTTACCAAATACCTTTCTCCTTCTGTCCTCACCACCTCTCTCTATCTTCCAACTACTCTTTTTTTCTTTTAATATGATACCATGTTTTTCTCTACTTTTAGAAGGGAACATAAGAAAACCAGGGTAGTTGGAGAAGGAGGCTTGAGCAGTAAATAGAGGTGGATTAATGATTTAAACTTTATGGGTCTTGCCTTTAATGCTCTTAGCATTGAACTCGTTATATTTTTTAAATTATGAATTCAAATAAAGTATTTATTGCATTTTTAGTGAGAAATCACATATAAATTTATACTTCGTGTTAAAATATTAGGTTCAAATGAACTCGATTCCATCCGCTATGATAGAAAATCATGTAGCCTTGATGGTCAAATAGGAAATTGAAACATGTCAACTTCCTTCTGTCTAGGTTGCCATAAGAGCTTGCTTTACGTGCGCTTAATCCATTTTTGCCGCGATTCCAATGTCTTCCTCATAGCCTGCGCTTTGCTTCATTTTCAATCCAGATAAGAATTTAAAGTTTTAAGTTAGTAGATCTCAAGTATTATTTCACATATATCACCTCTGTAAAAGTGTGCAAGATTAGTAGAAATGTAGGGTTAGAGTTAATTTCATGTAAGGCCACATAATTTTATCCACTATAGTTTAGACCCTAATAACTATAGTTTGCCTAATTATCATTCGTAGCTATTGTTTAATTACTACCAACTTGTATCACTTATATTGTGTCGCGCAACGAATACAACATGTATAAAATATAATCAAGGCAAAATACGTACAATAAGGGTGTATACAAAGGATACGACCTATATCGATTGTATACATGAGTTTATACAAATGATACAACTTGTATCGCTTGTATTCGTTTCGATGGAACGAATACAACTAAGATGAAATACAGAAATACAGAAAAATAAAATTCTCTTGTTGAGAGTCGAACTCAAAGACATCCGCTAACTAAGCGGGCGCTGTAACCAACTAAGCTAAAAGACTTATTTCAGTTCAAAATAATTAAATCTCTCATTTCATGAATTTGCTATAAAATTATAGCTACAAACAATAAATTTGCTGAAAGTGTAGCTACGAATGATAAATACAGTGTATATATTTTATGTGCCGCGTAATTTTTCCATAAAAAATTAAGTGACCATGTAAATGTCGACTACCCATATAAAACAAAAGATAATTTTTTAAACATTTAAATGCAACAAAAAGAAAAACGATTGCTTGGCTCCGAAAATATGATTTATTGTCATTTTTATTTTTCGGAGCACTATAAGGAGGTGTGAGAGGATGGACACTGGGCCTGAGGAGAGGTAGAGAAAGGTCAAAAACGAATTGTGGAGAGGTGATTAGGTAGATGCAGAACATAATGCATCTTCAGCTGACTGAGGACATGACCCTTGATAGGAGGGTGTGGAGTTTGAGGATTAGGTAAAAGACTAGTAATAAAACGTACTTTCCTTCCATTCCGGTAGCTGTAGTATTACTCTTGTTTTGTCGTTTTCTTGAATTTCTAGTATTATCTGATGCTGCTTCTGCTTCCGCTAGTTACTATCTCACTATGCTACTATTTATTCTCCTATGACTCTCTATTATATCGATATTTCAATTTGTTTTACTGCTGTGACCGTGACTGTATAAGGTCCGCATATACACTACCCTCCTAAGACACCATATGTGTAAATATACTTGACTTGTTGTTGTTAGAGCAAGTCACACATAATTCAGTTACTTAATGTGATTAAAAAAGGCTTTATGACTTCCCTATTATTGTAGGTAATGTTCAAGGATCATACCATGAATTAATCCTATATAAATGTATATTTTTATTCAAATTTTTTTAATTATATACTAGATGTTGAGCTGAACTGCTGAAGAGGCACCTTACCAAATACTACCATGTGCCCTGCATTTGCCAATCCTCAAGTCTGAATGTTTCTTTAAAGCTCAGTCACCTTCCCTCTCATAAGCCCATTCTTTGCAGGGATTTCTGAATAAATCTTAATATCCATTTCCTTTTATACCCAAGCAAAAGAAAAAACTAAATTTTTTCATCATCCTAAGACACAAAGATGAAGAACAACATAGGCAGTAACACAAAACTCATACTCCTACATCCTTATATCCAGAAACAGGGCAGCTCCAATCGTTTATTATGGGTTCTTGCTTTTATTTCATTCTTCACTCTTGCCTTTCTTCTTACTCTTATTTACACCAGAGAATCCATTACCAGTTATACCTCTGTAGCTGCAGTCTCTGCCATTTCTGGTTCAACCAATCCTCCATTGTCAAAGGCAGTGGTTAGGGCCTTAACACATTATGCTTCAAATTCCAATAACACTGAACATATGTCATATACAGATATCAAACAAATTGCTGATGTCCTCCGACAATGTCAACAACCTTGTAATCTCCTTGTTTTCGGCCTTACACATGAGACCCTTCTCTGGAAAGCCTTAAATCACAATGGACGAACAGTTTTCATCGACGAAAATAGATATTATGCTGCTTACATTGAGGAAAAATACCCAGGAATTGAAGCTTACGACGTGCAGTATACAACCAAGTTAAGTGAAATGAAAGAGTTGATTGCAGCAGCGAAGGAACAGGCACGAAATGAGTGTAAGCCAGTGCAGAATTTGTTGTTTTCGGAGTGTAAACTTGGACTTAATGACCTTCCTAACCAATTCTATGAAGTGAATTGGGATGTTATTTTGGTTGATGGACCAAGAGGGTATTGGCCTGAAGCACCTGGTCGAATGTCTGCTATTTTCACTGCTGGTGTGCTGGCGCGGAGCAAGAAGAGTGGCAACCCGAAAACACACGTTTTTGTGCATGATTTTAATCAAAAAGTTGATAGAATTACTAGTGAAGAGTTCTTGTGTAAAGAGAATTTGGTTAAGTCAAAGCATATGTTGGGGCATTTTGTCATAGGAAGAATGGATTCCAACAGCTACCACTTCTGTCGCAACCATATATAACATCACACCAGCAACTTCCGTCTTCGATCATTGTATGGTAAGGTGAATTTCATTTCATAATTTAAAGACATGTCAAGTTTTGAACGTATTATGCTAGAGGAAAGAGGGTCCAGAGGAGGTGTGAAAATAACTCTGTTTTAAATGAATTCTTCTCTAAATGTAAAGGCTACTGTTTATAAAAATCTATGTTTTTTACCTCAATGTCAAGTGTACTAAAGAGTAGACCAATGTATGATAAGGTGAATTTCATTATTAAAAGATGTGTCAGATTTTGGATATATTATGCTAGGGTATAGGTAGAGGGGACAGGTGTAAAAATTAAATAAGTTAACTCTCTTCTGGCGTAGCTCAATAAATGAAAAGGCAACTAGTTCTGTCAAAGTGTATGTACGTACCCTGCGCCAAATTGCTTTTGTTTACCTCAGTGTCAATAAGGTTTCGGTCCAAAAAACTGTAATTTAGTCGCTGATTTTATCAAATGGACTTTATGAATCATGTTACATCGTGCCATATATGAGTGTTGCATTTGCGTTTACTTTTATGAGTTTAAATTATTGTTTTCGTGATTGGTATTATTGATAATTTACTACATGGTATACTTACAAAGTCATCTTTCATTTCCTCATTTGGTACACATATCAAGGGAGAGGTCCTTATAAGTCCCTTGTTGAGTCGTGAGGACCTACTCCGACGAGCTTTGAAAATTCATACACAAAAGTAGATAGAAGTTGAAAACAGAATATGGCTGCTAAATTGAAGCACTATTTTTTTTGAATTTTAAATACCCTTCAAATTATGAGAATATATCTTAGATGGAACGAGTATTGCATACTTTTGAGCGGTCTCTTTTGTCATTATTAATTTCCTTTAAGGTTATGATGCCTCTAAGTTTAATACGAATTTGATTTTCAAAAATTCCATTCTAATCTAGGCTCAGCAATTTATATCTTATTGTATGAAATAACTTCCAATTCCGTTTCACCTTCAATATATTTTATTGTTAGTAAGTTTCAATCATTGCTATTCAGGAAAGTTTCTTCCCACAATAGTTACTTAGATCATGTTATTTTCTCAATGTGGGATCAAATTATTCGTAAACAAGAATAGGAGAAGCCAAGCTGGATTCTTTTTAAAAGAGGCAGCTTACTCCAAAAGACCAAAGGTTATACTCAGTACTTACAAATTTAATGGTACATAAATAGTTATATCAGCCTCTGTCTTGTAAATTGGGATACTTGCTGTATCTTTACCTGCCATTCCCAATTTACATACATCGCTATTACACATCTAAAAATTATACTACGGAATTACCATGGTAAATAAATCAGAGGTGAGGTTTATTGATGGCAGCATAAGTAGTTGAATGAGCCCTTGCACGGTGATGGCGATAAGCTCGACCAGAACTTTGCCTAGAAGAGAACTCATCAATATTACAAGGTACTTTACTTAGTGATTCCATGTCTGGACATTTCCGGGGCTGCAAGAAGAAGGCTTCACATTCTTCAGGTTTTCTCTGGTTCTCAAGATCCAGTACACAATTCATGCTAATATCAAGAATCTTCTCCTTTATCAGCTTTCGACATTCTGGTCCAACCTGTCGAGACATAATATAATTATGACGCAAGGAATGTGCTTTTTTTCTTTTCTTTTTATATACTTAAGTTTGTAGATAAGATGCTTACACAATTTAACACGGTAGCGACTGAAAAGTAACAGGATAAAAAGTTATTTGTACAAGGTGTTTACAGCAAACAAAACATGACATGTGTTTGCATATATATTTTTCAGTACTTAATAGTAATTAATTAATATATATTTTTGTCTCACTGAATCACTTAACCACTGAAAGTTGATATAGTTTGGTATAAATACTTGGTGCAGATAAGTGTTTAATGCAGTACTTTCTAATAGGCTAAGCATTTAAATGAGATGGTAACAGAATTAACACAAACCTGAGTAAAATAGTTGAATTTCAAGGTAAGTTTTTGCAAGTGGCTGAGCTTGCAGAGTGATTCTGGCACGGGACCATACAGCTGATTGTAAGAAATATTCAGCAGTTGCATATCCCTTAGGCACCCAAAAGAATGAGGTATTGGACCTGTTAACTTATTCACACTAGCATCAAATACAGTTGCCAGTTTCAACAAGCCTATCTCATAAGGCAAGCAACCATAAAGTTGATTATTCAAGAACAGAACCTCAAGGATATTTCTACAAGCATTGCCAATGCTTTTAGGGATTTCACCAGTGAATCTATTGTTGGCTAGTGTGATAAACAGGGCAGCAGTACGGCCAAATGTTTCTGGGATTTCACCAGAAAAACCATTGTTGTTAAGAAAAAGAACGTCAAGATCCAATGTGAATACTTGAGGGTCCACTGGACCTGTTAACTGGTTGAATCTAACATCCAAATAGGTTAAATTTGTAGCACCAAGAACAGCTTTTGGGAAAGGCCCAGCAAGCTTGTTATTACTCAAATCGAGCTCGAAAAGTTTAGGGAGCGTTTTGGTTGATATTTCAGGTACCGAGCCAGTGAAGTTGTTGGAGTTGAGATGGATGATGACTAAAGTCTTGATTTCTTCAATGAACTTGCTCAAGGACAGTTGACTGCCGTTGAAGCGGAAACCATTGAAGTCGATGGCAACAACGTGGTTTTTGTAGCAAGTGAATCCGACGTACTTTCTGCAAATGTCGTTGCCTACCCATGTTTTTGTTACGCCAAAGGGGTCGCTAGTTATTGTCTTTTTGAAATTTTGAATGACTTTTATGACTTTTCTTAGTTCTGCGGTAAGATAACCTGGGGTGGATGGTGGGGGTGGTGAGTGTTTGGGACGAACTTTAGGTGGTGGGGGTGGTGGTGGTGGTGGTGAGGGCGATGGGGTTGGAGGCATGGGAGGGGGACATGGTGACTCTGCAGGAGTCGGCGGTGGAGGAGGAAGAGGACATAGTGGTTCAGGAGGAGGTGAATACCAATTATCTGGATCATCTCCGTTAGAAGGAGGATAGGCAGGAGCAATGGGAGGGACATCACCTATGATTATGATTTCTATTGCTTCTCTTCTATCATTTTTGCCAGCTGAAGAAGTTAAGGCAGTTGCATGGCAGAATGAGGAGTTTGAGGTAAAGAGTATGGTGAGTAATTGAGCTGCTAATGCTGTGGAAAAGAAGTGAGAGCTAAATATGTTTCTTGCCCTCATATTTTCCTACTACTCTTATTCAGAAGTAAAGGGTAGATGTTTAGCCTATATAGCCATAAAAATAAGTATGCCCAGCCCTACAACTGTTACGTACCCAGATACAAACTATAGTTAGTATTCACCAACATTTAGAACATGTGTTTTTAAAACTATTTTCTTGTAAGGAAAATTGGGCCTTATACTATTATCATGTTGCATCCTGATATATTAATTTTAATTTATAACTATACTAAGACGTTATAAAGAGTTTTTATACTGATAGTTTAGTTTTACTTGTAGTAGGTTGTTTGCATTGTTTTTTTCCAGGTGAGTAGTTCCACCTACATGAGTAGTTATTTGCAGTTATTTTTTACCTTTCACTAGAATACAAAATAAATGAAAGCAGAGCAAATAGAAATGCAACTGAAACAAGAAAATTTAGCAGAAGACTGCAAAGTTGCCAAAGACTGGTTTGTCTGATGATTCCTGAATCACGGCTTGTATTCATTTTAAATGTTGATGTTCACCTAAGTGAAGTTTGTTTTGATGATTGCGAAAGGAACTCAAGCATGAACCAGGTACGTACACAGTGTACACAGATATGGGCAGATTCAAGCACAAGGCATGCACGTGAAGGAGATAAGCTTAAGTGGTTATATCTGACATCTCCTGAACGAAAGTGTTGCATAAGTGATAAGGAGAAAGACTCCTTACTCGAAGATAACTCTATCCTAGATAAATGAGGAGTTAGAAGTTGAAGATAACTAGAACTTTGCCGCCATGGAATAGTATAGCATTAGAACTCTAGTTATTTCCTATTCTACTAACTCTATATATTGTACGATGTTCTCATTTTACAGGTACGCACAAATGCTGAAGTTAAACGTGAGTAGAGAGCAAAATAGCAAGACATTTTGCAAGCAACTCCAGTGTGATTCAAGTGTGTGAACCAGAAGCTACATGAACCAGTTCTAAATGTTTGTCTTTTATTCTAGTTTCATTGTAGTAGGGCTTTTGAGTTGTACCTTTTAGCTTTATCTAGAAGCAATTATACTAGGTACTCTGAGTGTTGTATTCAAGTTAGAGTTAACTTGAAGTTGTCGCAACAGCTAGATGTTGGTTGCCACAAAGGGTTAGAGGTAATCCTTAGGTTTACAAAGAGTTTACAACAATGATTTAGTGAAGTGTTGGAAAAATCCTATTGGGTAGTAGGTTGTGGTTTTTTTCACCTTTTGAGCCAGGTGTTTTTCACACAAAAATACTTGTTTTCTTTACTTTTTGCATTATTTATTTCGCAATTGTAGTGTAAAGAATGCATAGAAGAACTAGGTCCATCGATAATCCAGTGCACGCGAAAATTGGGTACCACACAAATTATCCCCCCCCCCTCTTGTGTGGTATAAAAGTATAAAACAACAATTGGTATCAGAGCGGGTTATCCTTGAAGAGGTTAACACCTTAGGAGAAGATCAAGATGAGTGCACCACCTAGAAACTAGGAAGGATAATCCACTGCTAGGCCACCACTATTTAATGGCTAGTACTACTCTTGGTGGAAGAACAGAATACGAGATCACATTCAAGGAGAGGACTATGAGTTATGGGACATTGTCACTGATGGTCCACTGGCTACATTAAAGAAAAATATTGAATGAGTAGATGTGCCAAAGACAAGAGCGGATTGCACTGCTGAGGACTTGAAGAAATGGGAGAAGAATGCTAAAGCCAAGAAATGGCTTGTTTGTGGGCTTGGTCCACATGAGTACAACATAATCAATGGCTGTGCAACCGCTAAGCAAATTTGGGACACACTACATGTGGCTCATGAAGGAACTACTCAAGTGAAGAAATCTAGAGGAACTCTATTGTACTCTCAGTATAAGAACTTTGCTATGAAGGATTGAGTGACCATTCTGTCACGACCCAAAACCAATGGGCCGCGACGGGAACCCGGTACCTTACTCAACCGAGTACCAACATAACGTATCTTTCATATCATTCTATCATAGGCAAATGAACCGGAGTAAAGCATGAGGGAATAAATTTATACATATGACATACTGTCCTATAAGACCAAAACGATCACTCGTACACTGAACATAGGCCGACAAGGCCATACAATATTTTATATACATGACATATGTCTACAAGATTCTAAGAGTACATAAACGTCATAAGGCCGGGACAGGGCCCCGCCATACCAAACAATACCCGTCTAAATCATACTGACCAAACAAGTAACTCCGGAGCAAATAGAGCGCACCAACATCTTCCGCTGAGCTGATAGCCTACTTGGAGGACTCTCAACCTGTTTATCGGGACCTGCGGGGATGAAACGCAGTGTCCCCAGGCAAAAGGGATTCTAGTACAAATAATGTATCGAGTATGTAAGGAATGAACATCAGTAAATAATAGACATGAGAGAAACATGGAGTAAAAGACTCATTATGTAAGTCTAAATAGCTAGTGATTCATTAATATTTATAATGACATGCATATGCATATAAATGTTATACCATGCTTATGTATATGCGTTCATAACATCATCAAGCCTCTGAGGGCATCCCATCATATCATCTCGGCCATTGTGGGCAAATTATCAACGTATACCAGCTGATCAGGTGGTGGTGCATATATAACGCCATAACCTTTTTCCCATATCCCATATACATATAATATACGTGTATATAATGCCATCTGGTCATGGGTCAATGTACATGTATAAATGCATGAAATGCATAAGAAATATGTTAATAAGATTTTTCGAAATGTCATAAAATCAATATGCCTTTCGGATAAACTTTATCAAATACGTATTTTTCTGAGACCCATGAACAAAAGATATTATAATAATTCACATGGGGAATCAAGAATATAGACACCCCTAGTACTTCTATGAATAAAGTCATTTATGAAAATTGTGCATTTGCTCGTTTCGTTTGTATCGTATTGATCATGCCAAAAGAAAGAAGGGATAGCCTTAACATACCTGAACAAGGGATAGCCTTAACATACCTGAACCGAATCTCTTGACAATCCCTCTAACACACGTCTTTTGCGAAGAACACGTAACGGCATATCGAATTAGGAACAAATCTATATGATATTCTTGAGAAAGATTGTACCGTACTCCCTTAGAACCGCGATTTCACGCTGTTGCATTTTCATACGAATTTTTGAGATTCATTCGTTACTGTTTTTTGAAGATATCATATAAACTCTTTGGCATGAGATTCATCCGTTAGCAAGCAAGTATAAGTATAAGCATATGGGAAAGTCGCTTAATATTAGGGTTGTGGTCCCCACTTTTGTGGATGACTTGGCCAACTATTATTCTAAATAGGCCACCTATATGTGAACTTTAAGAGTCATATTTTTGTGACTTTGTTGGCTGCCACGTTAAGGATTAAGTCCTTATCCAATAATTATCTATTTAATTCCTTAATTAATTTGTTAATTTTTCATTAACCAATAATTATTAAATTATCCACATAATTAGGAATTATCTCAAATTACTTAAAATACTACTCACTTTTAACACAATTTGTACATATTACTATTATGGTCATGTGGTACCTTGTACGACACTAGTCCATAAATATCGGATATTATAGCTCGGACCGTATTTTATCCCAAAATGTCAAACTTCGACGGAACTCATTTTCTTTGGTTCGCTTACCCTCTCACCTTTATGAATTTACTTATCACTTGTTTGAAATACCGTAATACTTATAATCTCCAAATAATCTTGTCCTTGAACTGATATCAATTATCTTATGACAAATTCAACGTACAACACCCCAGGGTGTAACATCGTCGTAATATAATACTGCGGAGCATAACATCATCGTAATATAATACTACAAAGCGTAACATCAACATAATACTGCGGGGACTAACATCATTCCCCTTTTGGAACATTCGTCCTCGAATGTTGACTAATGCATTTATCGGTCTCATAAGTGCATAGCTCTTACGAATGGTTTTAATACTGTCATTGACATTTAGGCAACTGCTTTGTCAATAAATCTAAAGTCCAGGGTATTCCGACCTTTAGGACTCTTTCTCAAACCACGACTTGTGGTCGGAATCTTTCCAATCTCGTAATTATTGCTATCTCCTATCAAGCAGCTTGTACAACTATGACTTTGTATATGCGCCTATGCGACTCTTCTCTCCTCTTTCCTCTAACTTTTAGCCAATCTCTAGGCCTCACTTTGTGAACATATACAGAATTTATGATAAGCTGTCCCTCTGGGCATCATTAGCTTTACTACATGTAAGTAGGCCATACTATACCATAACTCTTTCTTCGATTTATCGTTACTGAGGTCTGCTACCAAACTCCAGGTTACTCTCATTGCTTATCCTATATGCATAAAGCTAAGTCTTTTAACACTTCTTTATTACTGTTCATTTTAAGACTGATGGCCTAATCTCATCTCGTACCTTGCAACTTTTACCCATCCATAGTTGATTCATCTCAATGTTGATCTACAATCTTCCATTGATAACTTGAAACTTCTTACGTAATATATTGCCACTAGGGCTTACGTTGCATCCTGAAACATTTGAAGTGATTTTCCTGATCCACCTGGGGGGCGATACTGTACTTCTATAACCCTATTTCATATCATAGTCATCCCAATGTGATTCGCCTTACGCGGGTATTTTAATCCTGTACAATTTATGAACTCATTACTCAATCGAAGGCCCAAACGCCATCCTTTATTTATCACAATTATACCCTTAGTCTACCACCAGGGCATCATTCCATCTCTTCTAAATGCTATTAGTCTTAGACTCCTTTGAGTTCATTCAAGCTATACTGAATTTTTCATAACTTAGAGAAACCATCAGCTCTCTTGTTTTCACAGGCTTAATCCTGAGGACTTATCTATTTTCGCCATCTTCACACTTGATGTTTTCTTATTTTTACTCATGTCTTCCTAAAACCTTGTCGCTTTATCATACTTTAGCTTGCGACCTACACATATCTATTTATACTACTCATAATCTTCCTTCAACTTGCTTGCACTATAGATTTTCTTGTGTTATTCTGAAACATCAAGTGAGACATCGCATCGTCTCGAACTCATCTTTACTCTCTTAGCT